TAATCATCGTGGCCTCGTTCAAATGTCTGCATTATACCGCATTTCATCAGAACGAATTTTGTATGTACTAAACTTACTCTCCAATTGCACGAATCATAATCTCGGTCAATTCTTCGAAAAGATTAATAAGTACATATTATATTTTGATGAGCCTTTGTAATCCTCTGCCTACCAGCAGCGTGGATTTTTTTCAATAGCCGTAGGTATCTATCCATTGGGCGATTCTTCTTCGAATCGAAGTTCCTATCTATGTCCCTACGGTCGATTCCATGAGCGTCATTTAAAACACTTCATGGCGGCAAACCTAGATGCTCGTTTAACAGGAAGTCATTCAACTATCGCTCAGTACAAGCACAACGTTGTATAGCTTAATCACGTCAAGATCATCATTTTGTATAGTGGATAAAATCACTAATACTAAATGTTCTCTTTATTCTTTGATACAAAAAGTTATTATCATGCCTGAAAAATATCTGAATGAAAAAGATTCAAGGATAAAATTAATCTAGAGGCATATCTCCAGAAAACTATGCTGATCTCTAGTGGCGCATCATCACAATTTCACCACACATTATTTTCCAGTACATCGCTGAAAGACACATACACGTTGTTATGCGGTTGAATAGCAACTCACACTACTCACGTGCATCTAGCATGTATGGAAGAGATTTTTCGAAGTTTGCTATTACGAGGGGTTCCAGTTTGTATAATTATATGAGAAATATTCCATAGAGTTGTATCCCTGCAAAATATTGAAAATTAAATTATAATATTTAAATTAAACACAAAATAATAAGAGAAAAATATAAAAAATGTTATAATGATAAAATAAAAATAAAATAAAAAGAATACTAATAATTGTACTAAAGATTAAATTAAAATGACATGTTCAAATGTATGTTCTATGACGTACATAAAAAAACAATCTACCTAATAAAAAAACTATTAAATAAAAATGAATAACAATTTCTAATATTGTGTGTATATGTGTGAAAAGTATACGGCTAGTAAATAATTAAGAATTCAAAATAATAACTTTTTATGAATGTATACTGCAACATTTCTCAACACCTGTACAAATGAAAGCAACTGCACGAAAGCATGAAGCAACTCTTTTGTAATAAAAATTCAGGCACTGTTGATTTAGAAATATTACATTGATATTTTTCGAGAGATATATTCTTATGAAAAAGGAGAATTTCATTTTTTCCATGTCCTCGATCTGGCATCTTGTTATAATATTTTTGTCATATTAATAAAAATATACAGGGTGTTCGGTAACTAACGGACCAACGATTACAAATGGATTCTTTGGTCAATTTGGGAACGATTTTTCCTCAGCGAAAATGTCGAAAAAAGTCATCATTTTTTACAACTTTCCAATATTTGTCATTATGTATCTTTATAACTAAGCCTCAAATTAAAATTTTATTATAGTAAACTTTATCTGAAATTAACTGAAGAATGTAATTATGTTAGACTTTTAACTCCAAAACGTTTAGTTTTCAAAAAACCCATTTTTTTCAATCGCTTATAACTCGAAAATTATTGACTTCTCAACATTTTTGCTAAGGAAAAATCGTCTCCAAATTGGCCAGAGAATCCGCCCTTAATCATTGGTCCGTTAGTTACCGGACACCCTGTATAATCTCGATATCTATTATGCAGAACAAATGCAATGAAGATATTTCTAACTTGTAAAACAATGGTCTTCTTGCACATTTCGTGATTCACACCTATTGCCTCTCTCATCGATCGTATATTTGCTACGAATTGCCAAACAATTAATTGTTAGTGCGATAAAAGCCTTAATCTTGAGAGTGTCCATATGTAATAAGACGCAAACGTAATAAGATAAAGATGAGGAGGCACTGGACGCGTAAGAAAATCTGGCCGAAATATCCAAGTAAAGAATATAGAACTAGTAAAACATGCCTAAATATATAAACACTTTTTAGTATTAAATGTCCTTTTCATTTAAAAAAAAGTTCTTTTCACTTAATTTCAATCATTTATACAGTACTAAGTTTAACATGTACTAATAATAATTAATCCACTTTTCTAATAATTTTTAGTAGTAATAGGCATTTTATTTTACTTTTTGCATAAATTTCACGGACAAAATAAATAAATAACACTTAAAAAATTTTCTCTGAAATTTTTCTAGTCTGATATTTTTTGACAATTTATTTATATTCCCCATATAGTTTGCTACTAATAACAAATATTTGATTTTTAGTGCATGTATGAATGGTTTTGCGAGATAATAATTCATGCATGTAACTTTTATGACTACAACAGAGATTATCAATGATTGTGTGCGAATATAAGCATATCAAACATTGTATAATATGATTTATCGATTCCGAAACGATTCGCAAATTTATCTGCTTATAAATATAAAATATATATTCATACATTCCCTCAAACATAGAATATAATTGTTATTATTTAGTAAAACATGAGTTACTTGTATATGTATATGTGTGATAATATAACAAAAGTTACATTTTATTTATATTATTGTTATGTTAAATCTTTTATACATACATATATATATTATATATATATATATATATATATATATATTAGTATTAAAAAATTAGACCAACAAAACTTAAAGGACGAAAGAAGACTTCAAAATAAACATTTTTTGCTAATACTAATTTTCTCTATAATGTTAAGTTTTAATATTACATAATATAAGAAATGAGTTTGTGACTTTTCAGTCTGTCACTTTTATATTAAAATTAATGAAGAAATTTTTGAGCATTTATTGTAAAAATTACTTTTATGTATTTATTCCGTGTTTTATTTAAGATTAAAATGTAAATTAATTTTTCCATCTATTATTTTTACCATGTAGTGTAAAATTAAAAACTTTGTAGAGAAAAATAGTATTAAAACGAATTTTTATTTTGAAATTTTTTATTTCTCCTCAAAATTTGTCGGTCTAATTTTTAACACTCTTTATATGGAGCATATTCCATATCAAGTAAACCACCCTTATTGAAAAAAAAACTAACCTCTTTTCATTTTAACAGTTAAATTTTATCCTTAACATCCCTACACTAAAACTTAGAATAAGTTACAGAATGTTATCTTTTACGATTTAAAAATGGCACCTCATTCTGTCTCAATATATCAAATATGTGCTTAACCGGAATTAAAATCACACAAAATGGATTTTTTATTTTAAATTTTGAAAATCTGAACTCGGATATTTGATATCAGTGATAAAACCTTTAAGTTATGTGCAATTTATACGTACATAGTCCCAAACTCTTCGTCCTTCCTGTTAATAGCAGGGACTGTGCACGTATAAATTGCATATAACTTAAAGATTTTATCACTGATATCAAATATCCGAGTTCAGATTTTCAAAATTTAAAATAGAAAATCCATTTTGTGTGATTTTAATTCCGCCATATTGTTATAAGCACATAAGAAAATTGTTGTATTCTTTAGAGAAGTTTTATAGGATGTGATTGCTTGTTTAGCATCTACTATATATTGCTAACAACTGACGAAAAATTAGGACCATTATCTTTGAAGTAATACTGTAACGCAAATGTGATAATCTAAATAAGATTTCAATATTACTTCGGAGTCGTATTATTATTCCATTAAAAGTAGCAGGTGCAAGGTCTGAATAGTTCAGTGGTAGGAACAGTTGTTTGGAAAGCGAAAAACTCGCATTCGCAATTTCTGATTCAGTCATTTGCACCTCATATATTTTTCTACTCCGAAAATATTATTTTGTAACAATTATTTGTTAAACTAAAAATATATAAATACCCTAGGCAAGTCATCAGTGTCTCTTACGGATAGATGATTGCTTCGAGTCTAACAATAAGCTTGTACCGCCCTCATACCACTTTTATTAATTAAATTGTCAATATTAAACATTAGTTAAGCAATCATGGCAAAGTCTACGTTGAAGAGCATACATTATTTTTAATTGTCTGATACTTAAACAAAAGTTTAATAAAGTATTATTTAAAAATAAATTAGACCTGTGTTATTATATCTCTTTAAGTTAATAATTAATTAATATAAACAAACATAAAATTAAAGAAAATAAATTAACTAATTAAAATTTTTTTATTAAATTGTGCACCATTTAATTTTTTAATCTATTACTTAAATATCTTTGAACAGACAATTCCTAAAAATAATAGGTTTTTAAATCAATTTTAAATAAAATTAAACAAAATATATGTATATGCAACAAAATTTTGTTTAGTTTCATTTGAAATTGATTCGAAGACTTGTTATTTCTAGGAATCTCATATTTGTTGAAAAATATTTATCTTAAATTATGTAACTATATTTGATATAACATCAATTTGATAACAGCAATATAACAATTTGGTAATGATTATATACCAATATCCGATAACAGTTGTGTATATAATATCTTTTGATAACATATTAAATTTTTTTATTATAAAACTACAAATTTTAATGAGCGGAAAATTGCAATTAATACGTATGTTGCATGTAACGTGCATGTTAATATCACATGTTATACATTCCGTTTTATTATGACAATATAATAGTAATTATATATCTGTATTTGTCGAGTAGTTTGCATGCCACACACAAGCTGCAAATTCTGAAATTATATATATCCCAAGGTTTAATATCCTACCTATCTAACGAGTATTACGTAATATTATGCATAATCATGCACAAACCACTAAACGTGTGTTATCTCAATGTATCTATATCTATACCACATTAACTTAATACGCATTAATGCCGCGAATTTTAGGATAATTATATTATAGCGCATTAAATTATTTGAAGATGTGATCTGATTAATAAAGTAAAACGAAAAAAATTGTTAAAATGATATAATTTATTGTCGAACGAGTTCTTATCGAGTAATATGATAAATTGTAATTTATATGAATATTCGAATATTCAATCCGATTTATATCTTTAATAATAATTTAAGATTCGATTGACATTCTTGACATTTCACTGTCACTTACCTCTGTTCGAGAGCTTTTTAGTGTTTATGATTTTTGCAGCAAACTCATGACCGGTGCTTTTTTGCACGCATCGTCGAACCACAGAGAAGGCACCTCTGAAACAATCAAAAATAAACATTCGTTATCTGTTAATTATTATTTTGAAAAATAGTACAAGATATCCAGGGATATTAAACTAAAATATGTATGTAACAAATGAGTTACTTCCTTGTATTAATTATTTATTGCATCGAAACTGCTATAAATTGTGAAATATCTAAAAATAAGAAATGTTCGAGAACTTGGATGTATAATATTACTAATTGTATCAGTTTGAAATTTAAAATTAGTTCTGGACAATATAAGAATCAATGCAGGATGAAGATGCCAAATAAACAGTTTTCAATGGTAAAATTCCACTTTTTATTTTAAACGTTTCGGTCCTATGAGGATTGGACCACCTTCAGTACAAAACGCAGTTTACAGTGAACGATTTTGTCAGTCGTCAAACGTTGATAAACATGACAATTCTGACTCAATCCTGATAAAATCGTTCACTGTAAACTGCGTTTTGTACTGAAGATGGTCCAATCCTTAAAACCGAAATGTTTAAAAAAAATGGAATTTCACTATTAAAAACTGTTTATTTGGCATCTTTCTCCTGCATTGGTTCTTAATTGTCCAGAATTAATTTTGAATTTTAATATTTTATTGAAAACATTATATAATTATTTTTTAATTTTGTATCAGTTTAATTAGTTAATTACAAAATATGTAAGCTGCTCTTTTAAACTTTTTAGAAAATGTGGTAAAAATCTTTTTAAACTAACAAACGTTTTTACGAGAGTTTTAAACATGTTATGGAAAATTAATAAATTAAGCAACTATCTTCATTACACAATTGCTGTTGAATTAAATTTAATAGATGTCATGTAGTTATTATCAATCAAATTTATATAAGATATTTACAAATATTTATGTTTAATAGTATTACTGTATTAAAATTTCATTGAGTAAAATTGATGATCTAATTAACTGACTGTTACTAATAAAATTAAATTATAATTAAATCAATATTTGACACACTCATGCCAAACAAGAAGAGTATTACCTGACATTAATTACTCTTTATATTACCATTATTATAATACTATCAAATATTTATTTTAGGTAATTTTAGCCGTAGTTTTTATTAAGCAATAAACAACTATTTTATATTTTGTATTAAGAGAATAAATAAACTATTTGGTTTCCACGTCAATAAAATTTAACATACACATATTGTTCAGTTTTTTCATCTAGAAAATCATCATGAACGCTGAATACATTCTCATTTAAATCACGATAAAACGTAAACTAATTGTAAGAATTATAACGTTATGCGCATGATGTAAAAGAATAAAAAAACTCCACTACTCAGTATCAAATCCCAGAATATCTCAAATTTGATATTTGTTGTTCTATATTTAATATAACTTTGTAATACCAAATAATATTAATAAAACGCTCTTATCGTAAATAACAAGGATAGAAAGAATATATTGCTGTAAAGAACCTAATACCCGTTTCAGCTGACTTTTTCGGACCGATATATGTTTCTCGTCTATATCAATTTAGGGGGATAAAGGGAAGAGGAATTCAAAATCTCAATTTAGAGATTTTTCCTCGTCTTAGCAAATTGCTAAGTATTAGGCTCTTCACAGCAGAATATTCTTTCTATCCTTGTTATAACTGTGTAATTGGTAAAAAATTCGAATAATAACCTGACCCTGACCGTTTTTATTTGATTTTATATTATATCTTTGTCAAAGAATATAGATAAATATAGAAGTACGGTTCTCGGTACCCCGGGCAAAGAATATAGACGATCTCTATTCTTTACTATTATGTTACAGTTGTTAGCAGTGGAGTATCATTTGTATTATTTTCGATATTGACAGTACTATTATTCTCTAGAATGCAAATGGCTGGGGTACTTACTGTATACGCAAGTACCCCAGCTCGTGTGACCCCGGGGTACCGAGAATCGTGTACTTCTATACTTGTCTATATTCTTTGTCTTTGTCTTCCTAAAAATAAATCTGTAATGATCATGATTACGCAATTGTAAAGTTAGAAATATTCATTAAGCATTTATTTAAGCTTAAACTAACTCGGTTAATGAAACGGCGATTATATTTGCAATATAAAACTATCCCAGCAAACACCGATATATAATTGTTACATTGCTATAATAAAACGGAATATAACAGGTAATATAACGTGTACGTTACATGTAACATCCATGTTAGTTGTAATTTCCCACTCATAGATGTAACATTTTAATATAACATATATTACATTATAGTTATATTGTAATTATATATCAAATAGCACATTGATGTATTGATAAGTCAGTGCTATCTTGGGATATAATGACAATATAACTACAATGTAATATATGTAATATTAAAAATGTTACATCTATGAGTGAGAAATTACAACTAACATATACGTTACATGTAACATGCTTAAGTATATAACATTTATATATTGTGTTTGCTGGGATAAGATTTTTTTCCTCAGAATTTATAGTCGCATATTCGTTTCTAGCTACCTAAGAACTAAATTTTTCCGATTATTTTCTTTCCTTTATTCCTTATATGGCACACTCTGATTGTCTATACAACAATGGAAAACTAGGTGCATGTCACCGGAGAAACTTATTGACCTGTTAAAGTTTCATCAAGAATGTAAGACCGTCGATCAAGATGGCAGATCAATGATTACAAATTGTTTATTAAGTGCACATTTTTTAAAGATCAAAATTGCCTCCATCGCTGAGCAATATTCGCGAATCTAGAAATAATTTCTAGATTCTTGAAAAAAGGATTAAAAGACTCTAAACTGTTTTGTTTTCAAAATATGTCAAAGCTGTAAAAAAATATGAAACCGTCTCGCTATCTGCGCAACATCTTTAACTCTTCCATCAATGAACGAATATCCAAAGCAAACCGAGATTTAATAGCCTACATTGCTAATTAGCCAGTTGAACACTACGACTCTGATTGATCAATCATGCATTAGGTTACTCTAGACATCGATACATGTGAATGTGAGGAGAGTGTAGTTTCGTATTATCGTTCGAAAAGTGAGGTTAGATATTCAACTATAAATCTATTTATTGGCTATACAGATTGTTTATTATTTGAAATTATAAGCTAACGCAGTTTGTTAATATTTAATACTTCAATTGTGAAAGAAGATTTATCAATCTGTATAGCCAATATAAATAGATTTATTTATTGTCAAATCTAACCTCGCTTTTCGATTGATAAAATATAGAACTATCCAGCATCCTCTTAAATGCGGAAAATATATCAGAACTTTTCTTCGCCCAAAACAAAATACAAAAAACCTTTACATTTAGAAACCTTCCTGAAATATGATAATATAATAAAAAAAAATATTTAGTATTCAACAGCTACTAAAAAAATTATCCTGGACACTTTTTTGTAAAAACACACAATTGGTACCTGAGTATCCATAAATTGATGAAAGAATGAAAAATTATATATGCATTGACGGAAGAGTTAAGCCCCGCAGATATCGCGAAAGATGAGTTCTTCCTCCTTCGATTGTCCGCGCAAACCAATAGGATCATCTGGATGTCGGGAGAATCGTCCTCACTCTCGAAACTTTAAGGTTGGACTTATGGAGATAGTAGTTGAAAGCTACATGCTGGCTAGGGCTCTTCGGACTCCGGTGAGTGAGCGCATTACAGCTCTGTAGCTCACTTCGATCAGTGGATCATCGCAAACTCCATGACAATTCTGATAGTTCCCATAATAGTGAGAATGTATCCCAATCCCATGCTTGTGGAGGACGTGTTGGTTAGGCTCTTACAACAGGTATCACACATGAATAAACTCTACAATGAGGATCATCTGGGCATACGGTTCATTCAGGATCAAACAACCATTGATGGTAGCAACTTGTATAGCTTCGATTAATATACTCGTATTAATCCACCATTAATACGCACTGAGTCTGCATATTGCATCGTGGGTCGTCCTACGACCCTATCGTCTGTGCGCAACGCGTCTTGCGATCGTAATAGATCTCGATCAATCATTATATGAATTATCTAGGACCACATCTAACTTCGCAAGGATAAAACATTATCTGCGGGGCCTTTGCGCCCATAAAGCCGTGTATCCTCGATCAATAAGGACCCCTATCATTGCGACACCGTCTTGATCCATGAAAGAATTTATACATTGCAACTGTATATCATCGTATTCAAACTGTCCCTATCACCGACACAATATAGTTACGTACAGTAGTGTCACTTTTTTGTTCTAAGTTAGACCAAATTTCTACTACGCATGTGTCGATCATACAATTAAAGATATAGCTACGCCTCTACATACGTAAATAATATTATAACTTGTAAATATTTATATTATAACTTGTTTTTATGATATTCCGAAAAGTGTATATGATATTAAGAGTATTTATTTTTAATAGAAAAATTTAGCATTCTATTTATTTATTTATTTATTTATATAATAACTTCACATTATTTTACTGAAAGCATTCAAATTTAAGCGATGTGCATTTTCAATATGGCGATAGATCATGTAAGTTGGCACAACTACATCAAAGGTGTATGTAATGTGTTATATACTGTATCATCGATAGAATACATGTACACACTATATGTATAACAACATATATACGCATTTCATGTATATAGAGTATTCAGTAATTACTGGATCTCTCATAAATAAAGTGAATTAAACTGAGCAGAAAAGTCCTCTATCGTTTTATGATCTTTGCAATAATTAATGAGAAATTAATTTTTAAAAAATTAGCTAATCCAGTGCAAATATAAATACATGACAAGAAAAGACAATACCCAGTGTTATATGATTACTATCATATGGTATAATATAAAGGTGCACAATGCAGCTTTAGGATATATAATTAAATTCAATTAGGTGTTGTGCCTAACACAATCAAACCTATCAACAGCGAAATATCTTTTCTCGCCTCGCGCTTATATTCGCATAGATTGGCTAATTTTTTTAAATTTAAATAAAGTATTACACATATAAAAGACTAATAAGAGCAG